AAGTTAGAGATTTTATTGAAGAGTCATTCAATCTATAAGCTGTGGGTCAAGTATAGACATGTCCTATAATATCGACATATTTAGAATACGGTAATTACCATATTATAAGAAACGGTAATTTCCGCAAGAATACGGTAAATACGGAAACGATCGGTATAACAGCAAAACCATTTCCGTTTTCATTTCCATATTTTTTACCATTTCCATTTTTGTTTTGGTCGATTACCATTTCCATATGGCTCGGCCGGTAGAAAGTCGAAAACGAACGCCGGTCGGCCGGTAATTACCGTTACCGTTTTCACCCCTACTAACAACCTTATCTAATAAAGCCTAACAAACCTCCTAACAACCTTATCTAATAAAGCCTAACAACCTACCAATTTTTGGTAGGGTAATGAACTAAACATGTTCTTATCATCTCTGATCATTTTATGATATGAAACCCATCTAGTTTGGTTGGGCATCTAGATGGGTTTATCTTCTGTTGCTGATGAAGAAAATTTAGCGTTAGTAGTCAGAACTTCCTGGTTTCAACACCTGCCACAACCACCAAGAACTTAAACTCGTCATTCAGGGTCCCCTTTGAATCGCTGGATTGAGAAAACGTAGGAATAGGTAAAACGCAGGATTTTAATATGAATGTAAGTGTAAATTGTAAAATAGAGAATTGCAAAACACAGGAAAAACTCAGGAATGACCGTTTGATTGGACCGTAGAAAAAACATAGGAATTAGAGGAGAGATAAATACTCGAAGGAAAGCTTCCATGAGGTAGAACTTCATATTAGATTTTCTCTAAAACTTGAATGGCATTAGGCATTCCATAGGAATTTTATGGGATTCTATACGATTTAGTCCTTTGATTCAAATGGCTATATAGGAAAAAATTTCTATAGAAAAGAAATCCTAAAATTCTTATGAATTTCCTTTGAATCAAATGGGGCCTCAAGGTTTACCAGAAAAGAAAACTGAACAGAGCCTGCATGGCGAGGCAACTGGACAAAGAGGAGTCAGTATCAGGTAACTTTTCCTATCTATCATGAGGCCTTTCACAGTGCACCAGCTGACAAGTTACTTCATGCCTCCACGTAGGATGCATGATGATGTGGAGGAGAGAGGGTGTGGGTCCTCGTATTTTTGCAGAATTTCTCGTCCCTCAACTAGGAAGTGAGTTCCTCGCCTACAAAGAAGCCATCGGTCAAAGCAGCTCGCCCCGCGCCCCCATCATGCCTGGTCCCTCACCGTGCGCAGCCGCTCTGTCGTCGGAGTTGCCGTTGACGACGATGCCGCTCCAGCACATTCGCTACCAAGAAGGGCGGCGGCCGAGAAGCTCCCCTGGCGGACGAGCGTCGAGTGGAGCAGCGGCTGGGCCATCTCGACACGTAATGGCAATGGTGTCCTCGGGCTCATCTCCGGCGGTGCGGCGAAGGGGAGAGCAAGGACGAGGGACATGGTGAGGGGACGAGGGGTTCCTCACCGATGGTCTCGAGCTTCCTCGTCAGCGTCAGTCCGGAAAGCTCTTGTTCCGAGCGGCTGCGTTGGCGGCTGGCCTCTTCCCCACGTCAGCCACCGCCGCTAGCTCCCTCGCCCCGGGGACGACGTCCTCTCGCGTCTCCTTCTCACCTCTCCCCTCTTACCGCCACGAGCTACGCGGCGGCCGTGTGAATCGACGCTGCACGGAGCGAAGCAGTAGCTGGGCGTGGGACGTCCTCTCCCCTCCACGGCCGCGAGGGGAGATCCGGCGGCCTTGGTAGCGAATGTGCTGGAGCAGCGTCGTCGTCAACGGCGACTCCGATGGCGAAGCGGCTATGCACGGTGAGGGACCAGGCTTGGTGGGGGCGCGGGCCGAGCTGCTTTGACCGATGGCTTCTTTCATGCGCCGATGGCTTCTTTGCAGGCGAGGAACTCACTTCCTAGTTGAGGGACGAGAAACTCTGCAAAGATACTGTTAGAATAAATGGGCTAGGCCTAATTTATTTCTATTAAAATCTCAAGGGCCCATAATAAATGTTAAAGATAATAATACCACCTTGGGGATTAAAAGTGGAGTATCTCAACTTAAAGAGGGAGTTATTGGAGGCTCCCTGTTGACCGATTGAGGTGGGGGTCGGATAGCCACACGCGCGCGCGCGTGCCGAGCCGAGCGGGCGAGGGCGTGCGGTGCGGCTCGTCTCTCTCTCTCTCGATCCTTTTGCAACTGTTCAGAATTCAACTCCGCGAGATTACCTCTGTAACGGGCCTTTTGAAATGGTTCAGAATTCAACTCCGCGAGATTACCTCTGTAATGGGCGGGCGATTCAATATTGATTGATCGCGTCGTTACTGCGGTAACAGAAGCGAATCCTCCTCCTGCGCTATTAGGACGAGACAGAGACCGACGATCAGTCTCTCCACGAATTCGCTCCATTGCTGGTTTCTCCTCTGTGCATGTGCCTGCGCTGCTTCTGTTCTTCCCCGGTTCTGATCGCTTGCGCGCACAAGTGATTGGGACGAGCAGGGCCTCCGGAACCACACACTCCCCTGAGATCTGCACGGGTAGGCGGGTGATTAGGTTCTGTTCTTCCCCGGTTCTGATCGCTTGCGCGCACAAGTGATTGGAACTAGTAGGGCCTCCGGAACCACACCCTCGTCTGAGATTTGCACAGGTAGGAGGGTGATCAAGTTTTTGGGGAGTGCTTCCGCACGACTGTTCGCTTCTTCGTCGTCGTTCGGTTCCGTCTGCATCGCGTGATGTCTACTGGAGGTGGCGCACCCGGTGCGGCAGGAGGTGGCGCGCCCGAATTAGGAGGTGGCGCACCGATCGACAACACCAACGGAGCCAATTCTGCCTCACAATCTAGCGAAGGAACTTTCACAGGGTATAACATCCTTCTGTTACCGTTCCTTTTGTTAAAACTGCCAGTTGCAATATTATTGCGTTGTCTCAATGTTGATGCTTATTTTACCTTAAGCATACTCATGGTTATGTTTAGTTTTATCACTAGATCGCTTCACATTGTAAATGTCATGTTTATTGTCTTAATATTTTGGATTAAAATATACCGATTTATGACCATATTTCCAACATACGAGGGCCCACACCCTCTCTCCTCCACATCATCACGCATCCTGCGTGGAGGTATGAAGTAACTCGTCGGCTGGTGAACTGTGAAAGGCCTCAGGGACCGTGAGTTTTCCTAGGAGTTGGAGGAAACAGAAACCTTTGCCAGTTTGCCTGCTTCCAGCCGAAGAGGAGGCAAAGAGACACCTCGAGCTTTGGGATCACCTTCCTTTTTGGTCCTGTGTTGGGTTGACGTATTGGACGCATGCTAAGGGCAGTCCCAACCCATAGTGTCCATAAGCAGTGTCTATGGTGCCATGTCAATAAGACATCACAATAGAAACTACACTCTACAACCCATGGTTTCTTAAAGTGGGCCATTAATAAATACATCATCTCTTTTCTCTACCAATCATATTTATTCTTCATCTATTATGAAGATATTATTCTCTCCCAATGCAAAACTTGATAGTGTCTAAACTTGATAGTGTCTAGTGCATAGGTTCTCGTGTTGAAGCTGTGTCTTGCATGAGACTCAGTTTCTTCCTCTCTTCACTCTTTCTCTCTTAATTAATATAGTGCCACATAAGCTAAAAGTCCTACATGGCAATGTAGTTAATGCTATAGACACCATCCTAGGTGGAGGGTTAGGACTGTCCTAAGAAAATTCCGATTGCCTAGAGATTCAGGAGGTTCTGAAATCCATAATTAAATTCATGATACATCTTAAATATGTTGTTACTGTAAATATTTTTTAAGGGTGTGTTTAGTTATTTGGTTGTAATGTTTTTGAAGTATACGGACGCACATTTAAAGTATTAAACGTAGACTAATAACTCCCCGCAAAAAAAGTAGACTAATAACAAAAACAAATTACAGATTCCACCTGTAAACTGTGAGATGAATTTATTAAGACTAATTAATCCGCCATTAGCAAATATTTACTATAGGATCACATTGTCAAGTCATGGCGTAATTAGGCTCAAAAGATTTATCTCGTAATTTACATACAAATTGTGCAATTGGTTTTTTTCCCATATTTAATGCCCCATGCATATGTCCAAACATTTGATATGACGTTTTTGGCCAAAAATTTTTGGGATCTAAACAAGACCTAAGTTATGATGATAAACAAATTATTTTTTATTCAGTCATGATATTATTTATAGATCCAAAAAGCAGAATTAGTAATTAGAGGTACCATACAGGCAATATCACATCAGGAGGTGCATCAACAGCTGGGCCTTGATCGGCCGGAGGTGGCACAAGTTCGACAACCCCATTAGGTGCGGCATAGAAAACGGTTTTAACTCCTGCGTCAGCATCTACCGCTCCTGCATCACCAACTACCGCAGCTAAACTACGCTCAGGCTCCTCCTCGAGCCTGGTGAGATAGAAAAATGGAAGCAAGTTAAACGATGCACAAACTACAACGAACTCGCCCACAATCGCAACATCAACAACATTCAAATCGCCAAAGGATTGAGAATGGATTCACTTACTTGGCTACGAGTTCTTGCCATGTACACTCCATATTCGCCATCCTCACCCAAGTGGGATGCAGTGCGACGGCGGCGCCTACATGCGGTGTGCCGACGGTGAGCTCCTTCCGCAACGAGCTGTCTCCATGACCAAATTGATTTCTTCGCTGATGAGCAAACATGCTGGAGAGTGGAGGAAGAGAGAGACAGCCAAGCACCCCCTCTGGATCTCGATCCCCTTTCTATGTAACTGCAGGGCAATTTCGTCTGGTCACTTGGCAGAGAAGCGAAATTCCTATCGAAAATGCATAAAATGGTGAAAATGGTAAAGCGGCGAGTGTCACGCGCTTCATCTTGGCATTTTAACGAATCGTTTTTAAGATGGCATTCCGGTAAAATCACGTTTTAAACGTAGCCACTTGTCCATTTTCCCCGTGCTTTGCGGTCGAGAGATGCAAAGTGGACATTTTCCTATTTCCATTAGCCCACCGTTGTAAATCCGCTCCAATTGACTCTACCAACCCACCCGTGCTCTCTCCTGCCGTGCTCGTCGACAGCAATCAGAACTCGGAAGCCGACCGGGAAGTCGCCGCGCCGCCATCGTGCTCGCCGCCGGTCGCCGTCTCGGAGGAGGTAAAGATCCCGCCGCCGCCCTCCCTCCCCTCCGCGTGGTCGGCGCCGTGCTCCACTACCCCGGCCGGCGCAGGTCACCTCACCACCCCCCCGCCCCCCACCCCCCCCCCTCCTCCAAAACCCCCAACACTATCCCTCTCCCCGCCGTGCTCCACACTTCCGGCCGCGTTGCTTCCCACATCCACCGCCCTCCCCGTGCTCAACCCCTCCCGATACGCGGAATCGTCGCCGCCATCACCGCCAATCCGCCGGCAAACTGTGGCTATCTCTCTCTAGAGCCTCTCCCCCTAACCCTAATTTTTACACACACACTCTCTCTCTCTTGCAATTTGACTATTTCCCCTTTTTTTTTTTGATTTTTGGTGTTTCCGGCCTCCAGGAAAAAAGAAAGGAAAAACTGCAGCGATGGTACAGATTAAGGAACTTGGCGAGGGCAGCAGCCATGCTGGGTAAGACACTATCCCCACCCCTTCCCACCATTTCACCAGTTATTTATTGATCTTAATTAACATCAGTGTGGTCTGGTTGGTGCTGCAGGCAAGTTGTTATAAGAGGGCTGCCTAGCGAATTGTCATATGGTAATTTGCTCCTTTATACCCTAGTTAATGAAACCACATCATATTCTGTTAAGTAGGGTGGTTTAAATTTCCATATTATTGCAGGTATTTTTTGGGGATATTATTCCGTTATTTTTTCTGCTCCAAATAAAAGTTTCTAACAGCTCAAAGCAAGTCCTGGAAGATAGATATTCATAGATTCCGTTAAGTACTGTACTTGACAATAAATATCTGACTGGAATGACACACTAGGTTGCTGAGGCAAATTCTTCAATCTGTGTGCTCAGTTTCTGGGTTTTTGTTTCTATATTCTATGCAAGTAGCAAATGGTGCGCACCTATTTCATGAGCCCATTCGTCTGCCCTGGTTGGTATTTATGTTTCCTTATAAATATATACAGTTCAATTGACTCAAAGGCATAACTCCATCATGCGATTTAAGAGATGTTTGTACTTTATGAGTTGAAACTGGTAAGAACAACAGTGAATAATTCCTATAATGGAGGATGATGGATTATAACATCTATTGCACCGGTTCAATGATTACGATTTTCTCATTAACTAATCTGAATTCCATAGTTATAATATTTACAGTCAGCTACCTGGTAAACAGATTTTCCATGGCATACTAACTTTTTGTAATACTAATTTGGTTTCTGTCATTTTTTATGACAGCTGACCTAGCAGACTATTTCATTAAATATGGAAAGATAGTTGATTTGATTATTATCAGGGCCAAGGGCACAGCCCAGGCAGGGGATTCTGCTAAAATTACTTATGCCGATGCTGCCATTTCTGATAAAATAATCAAGTGCAGGCATATTATCAAAGGAAAACATGTAAGTCATTCTCCCAATTTCCATATTCCTACCTAAACAACATGGCTCATCATTCAATGTCTGTTATGTGCTCATTTGAAATTTTTTGTATTCTAATATTCCCAATCTAAATAACTTGGTTAAAAATATTCTAAGTTATTTTTCAAAAGGAGGATTTTAATCCTCGACATATCCAAATGCACTTCCTTACTCATCCTAATTCCCAGCTACCTGCAAGTAAAAACCATATGGATTTTTGTTCCTCTAGAATTATCACATATTTTTCAGTTCCATAATGTCCCAACTGAAAGGTACTTATTGGTTTGTCTATTGATATTTCCAGGTTGTAGTTGATAGAACATTAATGGAAGACACCATTCAGTATAAGGACAAGAAGACAAACCGGAGGATAACTCTGGATGGCCTTCCCTGGACAGTGTCCAATGGTATTATTAATACAGAAGATAGTCATCTGCTTCCTTATAGTGTTAACCTGATGGTTATTTTGATTTCTCAGATGATATTGTGCACTTCTTCTCTCCATATGGAACAGTAGTTGACCATCAGATCACTCAGAAGGATGAAAATAAACTTTCTGAAGGATCAGGGTTTGTGCTCTTCAGTTCTGAGCTAGCTGTAATTAAAATTCTCTCAAATGGCAACACTGTTAATCTTGGTGGTGAAAAGGTGAGTCATAAGCAGTTAATTACAAAGATCATCAATTTTTGTCCTATCTGCGATATTCTATAGTGCAAAATGTGTTGACTCTTCGGCAGAAATTGACAACTCACAATAGTGTTATTGCTATACAACATGAATATGTGATGCTATACAAATAATTGACAGAGGATTTATAAGTTTGTTTTAATAGAATTTCGGTCATTTGTGTTGCAGGTGTCTATTAATAGATCAGGTGCTTTTGTTATCGCAGCAACTGGACACCATATAAAACACCCCTTTCTCCTTCCTAGTGAGATATTTTCTAGTCTCTTCCCTCATCAAAAGGATGGGCTTGAATGGCTCTGGAGGCTCCACTGTGAAAAATCCGGTGGGGGAATTCTTGCGGATGATATGGGCCTAGGCAAAACCCGCCAGGTTTAGTTGAAATTTCCTTTATCCTTCCCTTGAATTCTTGTATGATGTGTTCTTTTCATATAGGCTTCTAATCTAGTTTTTTTTTTTGCTATTCAGGCTTCAGCCTTTCTAGCTGGCCTTTTTTATTCCGATTTGACACAAAGGGTATTGATTGTTGCCCCGGGCACAATCTTGCATCAGTGGATTGCTGAATTAACAAAAGTTGGTTTTAATGAAGATCTTATACATAGGTATGCATTTGTCTTATTTCTCTCTTGCCTTTTAGTTGAAGGAGATAAGCTCAGCTTAATATTCCTTTTTTACTCGGTTGTAGCTTCTGGTGTGCCAAGACAAGGCATGATTCTCTAGCGCAGGTGCTAAAGGTTTGTTATTCAATCTAAATTTATTGAGAAACTAAGTAGAATTTGTGGGAAGTAGCTAAGGGTACAAAAACATGTGAGTTGGATGCAATCTAGTGCAACACCTTGCAAAATACTCGGAACTGGTACAAGAACTTGTTTAATGAATGCAAAAGAGAGCCTGGTTACCCATGTTGGCAAGTTTTGCATCCATCAAACAAGATAGCACACTAGTTTGAGCTTCTTTTTTTTTTGCAAGATATTGCACTAGACTGAACGCACCTAGATGGATGCACCGCCAACACACAAATTTGCTTTAATAAAAAGTTGCATGGAGTTAACATGGAATGAATCACAGCATAGGGTAAATGAATTAAATTTGTCCATACATAAGATTGGAACTATCTTAAATTTCAACCCAATACCTTGCTTTTAAGTTTGGAATATTCTCAATGAGAATATGCTATTGTGAAAATAATGCAGGAAGGTGGTGTTCTGCTTATTACGTATGATCTGGTGAGGTTGTATAATGAAGAACTAAACGGCATGAGCAGTAAAAGCTCAAAGATGAGAAGAGCTTGTCCTTCATGGGACTATGTGATTCTTGATGAGGGTCACGTGCTGAAGAACCCAAATACGAAAAATGCTGCTGCGCTGAAAAGCTTATCTCGTGGGCAAACAGTTGTCCTCACAGGAACACCGGTTCAAAATAACCTTTCGGTATATCTTTTTGCATTTCATATCTATACTAGAATGTAATTTTTCATTGAGCTTGTCTTTATGCATTAAGGAAAATGTCACATGCAGGAATTTCATTCACTAATGAGTCTTTGCTGTCCTACTGTCTTGGGCTCTCTTGCTGCTTTTGAAAGAGACTTCTGTAAACCAATTGACATGGGAAATGTGCTTGAGGCAACAACTGAAGTAGTAATGATATCTTCTAAAAAGGCCATGGTATTTTCCTATTTCATCGTTTGCTTTTGTTTCCGAAAACATCTTGTATTATTTGTTCTATTCAGTTATTATTTGTTGCTTGCAGGAGTTCCGCAAAATGGTGCGACCTTATTTTCTTAGGCGCACCAAGGAAAGTATTGAAAGCCTTTTACCTAATAAAGCTGATCTTGTCATCTGGCTGAAGCTAACGCCATATCAGGTAGAAATTACGTTGATGAAAAAGCTACATTCAGTTATTAGCATTATTTATTCCTCTTTTCTTGTGTACGCAGATATAATTATATGAAACATTTATGAAGAGCAATTTGATTGATAAGACAGTGAAGGGATCAACATTTGTTGCAACAATGGTACTTCTGAAATTTCTCTTTAATCGTCCTTTTTTAAGTTATGTATGGTGCTCTCTCATGATCTTATGGTCCTTGATGGTCTGTAGCACTAGTCGAGTAATTTCCTTAGAGATGGATTGTATCTTTTTTCATAATATTGAGATATTTCATGTTTACATTTAAACAGCTGCTCCAAAAGATATGCAACCATCCTCAGAACTTGACAGCTGTAGATTCCTGTGAGGAACAATTAGCGTTGAAAGAAAACAGGACGTTACAGGGCATTGTCAAAAAACTTGAAGCTTTGATTGCAAAGAATACCACAAAGACATCAAATTGTCTCAAGTCATGCAAGCTTACATTTATACTGCAATTGTTGGTCTGCACTCAATGCTTTTCTTTAGAGCAATGTATGCTTATCCATTGATAATCTTGCATGCATAATACATAGAAAACATGGCAGGAAAAACTTAAGGAAGAAGGGCACAAGGTGCTAATTTTCTCACAGACGCGCCTAATGCTTGATGAAATAGAGGTTTGTATATTTATTTATCTTGTAATAGACTGTAGCATGACACCATTTTTTGAAAATTTATCCCCTATAAAAACAGGAGGCACTAACCAACAAGGGAGTACATTTTGCTCGTATGGATGGGACTGTTACAGCTTCTAAAAGAGAAGCTATTATTAAGGTACATTTCTTCACCTACTTATTTATTATGTTTTTGCTAGATTTCAGTCAATGCTATCCAATCTGTCCTCCAACCTGTTCTCTAGTTTGGGTTTTGTCTTTTGTATTGGGTTTGTTCATTGGATCCAATAGCATAATACTCATCTGGTGCGGGCATGCATGGTGATGGACTGGCTATGCCATTCTATATACTAAGATAATTTTGATGCAGCAAGTTGATTATCCTTTTCTTTCCTGTGGGCTGTATCTGAAAATGCATTTTTATGCTAAGATAGTGTGTATATGTGATGTGAAATGGCCTTGAGTAACGTAGGCAATCTAGGTTTCCCTTTTCTCCTTTTCACAATACTTTAAATTTCCAAGAATAGGGCCATCGGTGTAATGTTCTAGGGAATGTGCTATTCTCTGAACATCAGTACTTCATGTTCCGACTTTCTGAACATTAGTGTGTTCCAGGTCTTTTTGCTCTTTCTAGAGGACTCCATGGTTGTCTTTTACTTTTACACAATGGTAATGTTCATCTCTTGTTCAAGATGAACCTTCTCTGTTGTGATGGATTGTGGCATGCCAACAAGGTCCTAGAGGCATTCCTAACAAATTAGGGGCAAACGAGCCTGTTATGCAACTGCCAGTGCAGAATTGATTTTCTTCTTAGTGTATTGCTTTTCTTTCTGCTTGGTTCATATATGAGTATGTTTGGAAGAGATGGCAAATGTGACTGAAATTTTAAAACAAATCAGGTGACTAAAATTACTTTATATGTTGCATGCTATTTATTTATTTTTAATCTTTTTAGGGCTTTCAAAGTAAAGATGGGCCTCCCATATTTTTAATGACCACAAAAGTGGGTGGTATAGGTCTAAATTTAACTAATGCTTCCAGAGTTATCATCGCTGATCCATCTTGGAATCCGAGGTATTCGGTTTATCCTTATATTCCATATTATTGTTTTTGCTGAAACTACTTATTTAATATATTTATTGTTTACAGCCTGGATAATCAATGCGTTGATAGAGTGTACAGAATTGGACAGGAGAAGAATGTCATCATCTATAGGCTTATAACCTCGTGTACTATTGAGGAAAGAATATATGAAAAACAGGTTAGAACCGTTTCCAGCATTTATTAAAAATATCAATGGTTGTTAAAGGTGTTGCTTAAGCTCAAGGCATCTGGTAGGTTGGGCAAGGGCCCTAAAAAATATCCATGTATATGCTATGTTTCCATAACTTTTTGTGTCAGTATCTTGCATGAAAACATCAGAGCTTCCTTTCCTCCCCTCACAACTAACTAAATGAAGATCTGATTTGTTATAGATTGTTTTGTTTGCCTCCTTGTTAAAATGAAGCGTTCTGGTTTTTTGAGTATGGCCTGTTGTGTTTTAGGTATCCAAAGAAGGGATTTTCAAAGCTGCAACAGAAGAACGTGATTTCAGGCGCTACATCAACAAACTGGTGTGCTATAAATTTTATTGAAATTTCAATTTAACTAACTCTTGAAGAACTAACAGTTCGTTTGAATTGTTTCACAGGGTTACAAAGAATTTTTAAAACTTCCTGAGATGGGTTTCGGAACATCCTTATTACAGAAAAGGCTTGAGATAGAGACCATGACAGATAACATGTAAGTTAACTCAATAAATTGTGATGAATTTCAGTAAGTCAGCACTTTATCTGATATATTTCTTCCATGAAATCTCAGTAGGGCAACATTGAAGAGTCATTTGATATTTTTGAGACAGCAAGGTATAGTAGGCGTATCAGTTCACAACACATTGTTTGAGAAAACAATTAATCTTCCTCCTCAAAAGATTGATATGAAGTATCTTCCTCCTCAAAAGATTGATATGGGGTAATTGCTGTGTTTTCATGCGTAATTAATTGTTGAAATGAGCAATTCAGTCTAATTATTTCAACTCTTTCCATAGTGATGAAAATAGAAGTACGGTTGGGCATTCAAGATCTCAGCACCGCCGATCGCTTTCAGATAGTTGCATAGATTGGTAACTAAAAAAAAATGTTTAAGCTTATTTCATTTGATTGTGCTAGATTATATTTAAAATGGTCTCTTTGTTACAGGTCTGAGTTAGCAGTGAATCCAAAAGCAAAACCTGTTAGAAATACATCATTCAGAGTTGAAAAAGTTGAAGTAGACCGGACTGTGAAAATTGAAGCTAAAAGGGCTGAGCTAGAATGCAAGACTAAGTTGTATGAAGTAAGTAATTCAGACCTTTTTACATGCAAACCAGAAGCATGCAACATTACTCAGCATAGTTTTTTCTCTTCGAACCAATAGTTGCTTCCAGCTATATTTGTAATGACTTTTCAAAGTATATTGAAATTGTTGCTTTCTGAAATGAAAACTTGTAAATGCTTTTTACATTCGTTGCTTTTCATATTGGGCATCTATACCTTTTAATGTCACTAAGCATGTTATTGCTTGTAGATGAGTGTTTTTGTGTTCTAATCAACATTCCCTTGCCTTCCCTGATCCATTCTATTAGCTGCTACATAACAAATTGCTTATACATTGCAGCATATCAAGGAAGCAGCTCATGACTCTGGAGCCAATGTTCTTCGACAAATGAAGGCTATTGAAAAAGAGATTTCTGAACTAACATCACAAGAAGAGATAGAAGAAAAGAAAAGGAAAGGGGGTTAGCGATGGTCAAACTGCTGAAGAACTCGCGCCAAGTGAAATCTGCCAGTAGACATTTATTGTTGTCTTCCTTTTGCTTTTTTTTGGGGTTCAGGTTTGTATTGCTGTAGAAGCTGGCGATGATGTAGAATTTGTGCCAGTAGAAATTGGTGCTCCAGGATGCAAACAACAAAGTTCATTGGTCGATTGACTTTTTACTCTCTGTGTCTGTGTCTCAGTTTGCTTTTTGGTTAAGTTCAATGGAGATCGAACATGGTACTGAAAATGACTACAGCTCAGTTCAACCACACAACCTCGTATTGAGGACAGTTTGGGCATCAAACACTTAGGCAATGTTTGGCTAATGGAAATTGGAAATGATTTCCCACCCATCAAAAGACATCTTTAAATCCTAACCATTCATTCTCCCTCTTTCATTTAATCCTAACCCTTCATTCATTTCCCAATCCCAATCCCACCCTCTATTTCTCATTATCCAAACACTCTTAAGTTACACAGATGTCAACTTGCGATAGCATTGATTCTGAAAGTAAGGTCTTTGTTTAGTTGGGGAAAATTTTTAGAATTGGTTGTCACATTGGATATACGGATACAGATTTGAAGTATTAAACGTAGTCTAATAATAAAACAAATTACAAATTCTGTTGGGAAACTTTTTGACAAATTTATTAAAACTATTTAATCTGTCATTAGCAAATGTTTACTGTAGCACCACATTGTCAATCATGGCGCAATTATGCTTAAAAGATTCGTCTCGCAAATTACACGCAATCTGTATAATTGGTTTTTTAATATATATTTAATACTCTATATATGTGTCTAAATGTGAAAACTTTTATTTTGGAAACTAAACGGAGCCTAAGAGCAGGTATAATAGCAGGCTATAAGCCAGCTGCAAACATATTTTAAGAAGATAAATCAGGAGAGAGAAGAGCAGCGGGCTACAGATTTGTAGCCAGCTATAGCACAGACCCCAAGACGCAGTGTGTCTATGACGGGTAGGACTAGGTATTAATAGTGTAGTATGTAACTATTGTATGAATAAGCTAGTAGTTGGCTATAAATAAGTTGGAGCTAGTAGTTGGCTATACTATTGAACTTGCTCTAAAACGTGACTAGGGAGATGCAGCACCACGGTTTGGCATCCGTAGAACGGGGCAGGGGGCACCACCCGCCAGTCTCGCGCTGGCGCGCTGCCGCGTGCGGGGAGAGGGAAAAAAATCGGCGACTCGCCCAGTCCTCCACCACCATGGCCGCTCGCCTTCACTTCAGCCTCGGCCCCCGCCTCCGCGGGTCTGCCACTCTCCCGCACGGGCTCGGTCGCGCCTCTCCGCCACGGCTTCGGTTCCGCCGTCGTCACCGCGCCGCCGGCCGAGGACGAGGACTTCGCCACAGGTTAGCCGCCGTCGTGGCCGCCGCCTTCACGGCGCGTTATTCTGCTCAGAGGTGCCTTGTAGTGCTTCTCACCCGGTTTGTTCTGCTGCTTCTGGTGGTGTGTGTGCACGATGCAGCTGCTGACCTCCAGTTCGAGCCGCCGCTCAAGGTCGTGAAGTACCCCGACCCAATCCTACGGGCTCGCAACAAGCGCATCAATACCTTCGATGACAACCTCCGCAGCCTCACTGACGAGATGTTCGACGTTATGTACAAGTGAGTCTGGTGTTTGAGTCATATGTGCATTTCGTTGCTGGGGTTTTCTGTTTGCGTGCGCTGACCTGTTTGATGAAATGCGCGTGAGGGTACTGTGCCACTCTTTTGACGAAATATGCATGGAAATGTTAAGTTGATCCTGCCCTGGTGATTTTTTTTTTCTAGCGCTTCAGATTCAATATGTGTTACTTTGTTAAATAAGCAAATTAAGGTACCATTTGTGCTTACGAGGCTCCCTGGGCTTTAGAGAGGTCTAGTGTTTAACAGATCTCCAAGATTACTATGGCGTGATTTGAAGTGGTCGAAATTGTGTGGCATACTAGTTATTTCTCACAGAGTATGTGAAATGCCTTGTTAAGTGGGGGAAATATCCAATCATATACCTTGCTATCATTTTTAGAAAGGCTTGCTATCTACTATTGCTCGAGAAGATATTCCTCCAATTGAACCATTGGTTTCTTGCTACAGGACTGATGGAATTGGTCTCTCTGCACCACAAGTTGGGGTGAATGTACAACTTATGGTATTTAATCCAGCTGGTGTGAAGGGAGAAGGAGAGGAGATTGTCCTTGTCAACCCGGTTGTATACAAAATGTCGAAGAGATTGTTAGTGTATGAGGAAAGCTGCTTATCATTCCCTGGGATATATGCCAATGTGGTGGTGAGGATACTTTGTGTACAAGCCATATTGTTATTTGATGACTATTGAAAGTCTACATGATACTCCCTCCGTTTTTTTAATAGATGACGCTGTTGACTTTTGACCATCTGTTTGACCATTCATCTTATTCAAAAATTTTATGCAAATGTATAAGGTATAAATCATGCTTAAAGTACTATGAGTGATAAAATAACTCACAACAAAATAAATTATAAATACGTAATTTTTTTCAATAAGATGAATGGTCAAACGTGTGATAAAAAGTCAACGGCATGATCTATTAAAAAACGAAGGTAGTACATTGGAAAATAATTGATTAAGCTTGTGTTTAAAAAACAAAGGTAGTACATTGGAAAATAATTGATTAAGCTTGTGTGTTTGCACTGTGCTGCTGAATTCTTCATTCTGCGCACTGTTATATGCATTCAGTGAACAATCTGTGAAGTTGCCTGCTGAGATTAACCCTGCACGTTTTACTGAACTATATTTTTAACTATGCATTTGAGTTAAAGCAGTGATAACATATTAACATGGTTATAACAAATGAACCAACCTTCAAATTCTGACCTTGTAACAATATGAGAATTCAAGAGTTGGTTACTGGTTTTAAGCCTACTACTAATATGCACATATTAACTAGATTTAACACAAAAGCACTCTATAATTTAGAGACTGAAATACCCAAAAGTTTAGCAACATATAGATGTGAAATAGACGAACAAAATTTCCATCATACTGCAGCTGTGTGTCCTTTGGGTGAATGACTTATGAATTATGATCACTTTATTCATGCAGAGACCAGACAATGTCAAAATTGATGCTCAGGATGTTACAGGGGCAAAGATTAAAGTTAAATTGTCAGGTCTGTCTGCAAGAGTTTTCCAACATGAATTTGATCATTTACAGGTACGTGCTTAACCATGGTAAAAGTTAAATAAATTGTCAAGACTGTCTGTAAAGGTTTGCCAGCAGCTACTCTTTTGCTTCAGTTTCCTTCTGTAGCGAACATATGCAAGGGTCCACCAAATCATGTTCATGCTTATACTTACCTGTCCAGGTTACTTTTGATAAAGAACCCAAATTAGGGATAACTCAATTTTCAATGTGGGATGGGTGCATATAAAGCATATACTATTCAACACCATAATCTAGAGATCAATTTCTCCAATTATTTAAGACATATTGAAGCATATATACCCTTGCTGTTTTTCCCTCAAGCAACCTAACAACGGTTCAACATATTATTCTAACCATTTAATTGTGGATGTGCAGGGGATTCTTTTCTTTGACAGGATGTCTCTTGATGTTCTTGAGAGCGTGCGTGAGGGACTGAAGGTTTGTAAAAACATCATTATAGTGCAAAATAATGAGATTGCATCGAAATTCTATCTGATAGCAGTTGTTAACGCTAGAACTGTTTAATAACATATTATTCCTTTGTTTTGAATGTATTCTTCACTTTTTCTACCAGAGTTACAAATATTGAGTTTTTAGTGTATCAAGAGTTTGCTATATCTTTTGCCTTTTAACTCAAAATTTTATATTTCAACATCCTCCCAGGTAAGGCACCTCTCATGTGGCTTCAACTAATAACTGTGCATAAGTATTTATGTAGGCTGGCGTGCCTGTATATATATTTTTTACAACACATTTTATGACAAACTTGTTTTGCTCACGTGAAGTCAAAACTCCACTTTTACAATAGGACCTAGAGAAGAAATATGAGGAAAGTACAGGACTAGTAAGCCCTGAAAGTATTGAGAACTACAAAGGAAGAAAGGATCTCATTAGTTTCTCAAGATGAGTAGCTTTCGGTAGGTTTGTTACTCTGTTTCATCCTAATACCTTTCAATTTGATTGACTTCCCATCTTGTAATAGGCAATGCTGAAAATTCTATCTCCGGTACTTCTTGAACAGGTTCTGGCAGTTTTTCAAAACATCCTGCTGAGCTTCACATTGAAGATTGTGTATTAGAACAGTTGCCAGTATCACATATTCTTCTGTCATTCTACTTTTTGCCAGTCTTGCTGTATCTAGTTTTGTGCAACACCAGTGATATTACAACCAGAAATTATGCTAGTGATAAATGAGCTGTATTTCCTAAGAAGGAATATGTGAACAATATTAGTGTTTGCATATATATGATTTTTTAGAAGATACTGTACTTTATCATTTTTCATAAAATTGTTCATGTAATGGCCTCTTCTCTCAAACTATATTTAGGGAAAAAAAAATCCTAATTGAGCAAAGCAAATAACACTATGGCAGTGACACAGATATGTATTTTACAATGAGATAGGTGGATGGTTGGTAACAAAAACTCGCATATGCATTTTTCTCATTGACCAGAACATTTATTAATATTATATACGCATCATATGCTAGTATATCTTTGGTAGGACATTTGACACATGACTATATTTTTTCCATTCACTTCTATTGATGCATCATGATATTTACTTCCTCCCATCCCCGGATACAAGGGATCCAAGCATTCAAAATTTGTCCTCGGATATAAGGTATCCTAGAGTACTACTTTTCCCTCCAACCACCTCTCATTCAAAATTTTCCCCATCTTACCCCCAACTACCCTTTTTCACTCCCTACATATACCCCTCAATTAACGAGGAGCATCATACTCTTTCTCGTCCATCCTTAGTTTCTCCAATACAATCTAGAATCCATTATATTTGGGGACGGAGAGAGTGACAAATTACAATGAAGTTCTTGTGTGCAAATAAGTGCAAACTTCTCTCTGATCTGTTTAGTCAACATCAGGAGGGAATATTTTCTGTTTGATAGTCAGTTGCTTGCAACGACAATGTTCCTTGAAATCTAGGATTGCTAGCATTTCAAAACAAGGATTGATGGGTGTGGTCCATTCTCATGTTGATCAAACAATTCACAGTGTACTGCCTTCTATTAGCTTTCAGTGTATGATGTAAATTGCATAATAAAATGGCTTCATATGACCATTTTACATATTCTAAACAGCAAAGATTAAAGTTAAAAAGATATGGTTAACAAGTGACTGTAATTGTGAACAACCGTACAGACAAGCAGGCTAAAATAGATGTTTCAGTGAGTTAATTTTAGTTTGCAAATACTTCTCTCTCTCTCTCCCATTTTCTGATCAACAGGTGACTGTAATTGTGAACAATGTAACTATTACCTCAGACAATCATGGCCAAAATAGATGTTTTAGTGAGTTAATTTTAGTTTGCAAATACTTCCTTTTGTTTCTTTTCATTTTCTGATATACATTTCCCAAATGCCCCTTATCAGTTTTTTTAGCTAACTTAAGGTCATCAGTGCCACTAGAACACATACCTATCAAAATATGATGAATAAATATTTTAGTGATGCATAACACAGAAGACTTCTTTCCTTTTGTTTCGATGGGCTCTCTATGGCTTTGTAGAATATGCCAGCTGTATTATGCCCATTCAATTTTCTTATTATTTTTCAAGTTTCCTTAAACAGCATTATTTGTTCTTCTAGTCCATAATTTTCCCCTTGCATTGAACAGTGTAGCTGTTTGCAGTTTCAAACCTTTTTAAAGTGTTAGAAATTCTCATTTTCTTTAGCTATTTTCCAGTTACTTGAACAACAGTTCTGTTGCTATAGTACATATCAGTACTATTTTAACTAGCTATTATTGATCAATAGCCTACATGTAATCTAAACCTTTTCTATCTGTTACCAGTCTGTGTCAGAACATCAGCTCGTTATTTGTGATCATATTTTGAATTATTACCGATCAATAGTATGTATGTAATCTAAACCTCTTCAATATGCTACCAATATATGTCTGAGCATCAGTTCAATCATTTATGATTATATTTTGAACATTATCCTTTTCAATCATTTGGCTAGTTCATTTACATTTGCTAGATCAAGTGATCCGTGACCATTATGTTAACTTCATATGGTGTGTCGGTGTACAAACTTCTGTGCCATACTGCTTCTAACACTGAATTGAGGTATTGCGAAAAATTAGAATATGTTCAATACTTTTCAACTCAAATACATATTTGTGCTCCATGACCATTTTTCATATGGAAGTATCTATCTTTTCTTTAATTGAAGGGTGACACGTGCTATAGTAACAATGGCATCAGAATAACTGTATATATGCACACCGCCAAGCAATGGTGCAAAGGGGTCGGAAGTTTCACGACCACTCATGGATAAGCACCAATCAATGGATGAAGGTACTTTTGTGTATCAACATAAGTCGTGGTATGACTGTAAGTTGTTCCCAGCAGGTTTTCCAAGGTGCAAGCAAGCAATTGGAGGGACTGTTGGAGTGTAGAGCTCCCCAAAAGCTTGCCAGCAGAAAGGGTCGTTTAGGCGGTAGTGGGGTATTTGGACAGGCCTGAGTTGTACTCCAGTAAGAGTTATCCCTGAACAAGGTGAGCTGTCACTGCATGCAAAATGAACAGGCTTGATAGTAAATGTTCCTCTGATGTTCTCATACTGAACGCCTGATACTGCCACTGCTGATGTTTGATTTGAGCATGTTCTTTTGTCACAGTAAAACTGGTCTATGATGATTGGTGTTTGGACTTCTGAGACTTGGATGTTCGAGAACCGTACATCTTGAACCAAGCCTAAGCCACCCTGCAAGGAGAGTTTAATTTGTTTAGCTCAGTAAGTATTAGGTCTTCACTTAGGATCATCATTTTTTTTCTCATATATATTTCTTAGCACATCTGATTGTCCAAGTTTATGAAGATGATATATTTATCCTTTTCTTTTGTGACAATGTAATGACTGTCCTATTAAGTAGGATTTGTTTGTACCTATAAAGGGATGTGCTTACCTGCCAGGTCTTGATTCTGACACCAGTCATGGTTCTGAACATGTTGACATCTCTTACAGTAACATTGGAGACACATGCTTTTGTGTTGTCCCGGCCTAGGCCTCCAATGCTGATTCCATGGCCAGGTCCACAATTCACATTGTGTATATTTATATTGCTGCATCCTGTTTGAATGGAGACGCAGTCATCACCTGCATCATATACGACCAAAAAATACATGTTAACTATGTTTTTCTGCTTTTGTTGAGTAACTGCAAAAGATAGCTTCATAGTTCAGTACTCTTGAAGTTTTTCCTGGTACCCTCCTGTCCTATACACTGCAGAATTTACAGGACAGGGAGACAGGATTTCAGTTGTTTCTAGGCCTTATTGAGCATACGCATGTCTCTTGCCCTTGTTTCATGTATGGAGGATTTTAGTAAAAGAAAATCGCTAAGCATTTTGATGTACTTTAGATTCATATAGGCTCTAAGTTCTGCTTCAGTTTAGTTATGGAGGTAGTACCACAAGCCAGGTTGGTATGATGAATGCTGACATCTTTAGAGTTCTGCAGGTGTATTCCATCAGTGTTGAGGCTGTTTTCTGGGGAGGATATTGTTACGTCATGGACCATCACTCCTTGACAGCTGTCAAACTTGAGATGGCACTGCGAGCTGTTGACAATAGTGATACCAGCTACTACAACGTTGAAACTACCATAGAATCTCAATGCCTGCATCAGAGTAAAGTTCTTATGACTTGGTTTTCGTGTGCAACCAGACAATTACAAATGTGATTTGATATAGTGATCTTCTTACTGTAGGTTTAACTTGTGGCATCCTTTCAAACTCCACATCGTACTGCTGGAAGTATCCAAGGTAAGTGACTAAATGAACCATCTTTTGAATTGTTTGTATATGATGATATGCTAGATGGATGGTGAGATCTTACTGTGTCATCATCTTCGTCGTCATCTATGTCTGAATAGGTCCACCATTGTTGTCCTCTACCATTTATGATGCCATTGCCTTGAATTGATACTCCATTTAGTTTGGTAAACTCAATCCATTGAAGCAAACCAGAACCCCAAGCTTTAGCACTGGTTGGGGCTACAATTGTTCCATCCAGCTACAAAATAAACACGTCACTTAACATCATTATGTTTTGTGTTCCACTAATTAACTCTGTCAAGTTTGTGGATTGTTGAACTTGTCCACTGATAAAATTAGTTGGAAATTTCCTTCGTTTCTTTTATAAACAAAATGACAAATGCTCATCAAAACAAGATTCTCAGGCTTATCTGCAAAGTATAAGTAGTGGAGTTTTTTATTCCTATCATGAATGTCTAGTTTATTCCCAAATACAAGTACTCAGGAGGGCATATGTATAATGAAGTGGGCATTCAGAGTCTGTATAAATCTAGTATTATCCTTTTTGAAGCAAGAGTTATGTAGTGTTAATGCTGATTTAGGGTTTGCATTTTTACTAAAAAGAAGCTATATAATAATCAGGGGAAAACATATTTGGGTAGAATGAAATTTTCGGCTAGAGTATAGTTACCTGGAACAGAATATTTGGTTTGCAGTAAGGCCCAGAGAATGAGATTGGCCCAACAAGAAACTCAAGTTCTGATGGTACGACAACTGTAGATGCTCCCTGCTTGCACGCTGCAGCCCATGCTGCTTCAAAGGCCTGCATGTGGGTGCAAGACACATTTTGCTCAAACTTTGATATTTGAAGCCACTGTCCTGTGTCCTCTAGACTGTAGTATGCTAAATATGAACCCAGAAACAAAACACACCCATATATACCTCAGATCCCTAACGAAAATTCTATGGTCTTTGTTGCCATGCTGGCATGAGAAGTAGCATGCAGCCAAGCAAAAAATGGAAAGGATAAGAGAGAGCTGAAGTCTTTTGCTGAAAATAAACCGATGCACATTGTTTGAGGATTATTATGATGCAAATTTTAAGTATTGTTTCTGCATAAAAAAACCAATTCTATTGCCTTTTTCCAAAGAAACAGAGGAATTAGTTTTCCAAAACCTTCATAAGAAAGGGTTTCCTGGTTCATGGGAGAAGCACTTTGCTCTTCTACAGAAAAGGACAAGAATGTCAAGATTACAGTAGTTTGCTTGATGTGCTTTTCTCGGCAGTCGACACAAACAAAAATCCTTATAAATGGTTTTCCTTTAGAACCCTTGACTTATTTGGTGCCTTCTTTATTGTCTTCTATGACTCCTCAAATAATAATAAAAGAACAGCAACAGTGACCAGCTAAACTTGCATGAGATGCAATTGATCATGTCAGAAAAATTGAACAATCCAAATTTGCTAACAAAACAAGTTGCTGGCAACACATGCAGAGAATAATCCAAAATAGCGAACAAATCAATTGCCAGAGATGCGGTCATGCATAAACTGACTTAAGAGAAAGTACGGCACTAGTGACAATTTCCCTGGGCTCTGCTCTGGAAATCATGTGATATGTACATCGCCACATGCTGTGATGGTTCTGGTAGATCATTCCATCTATGCGCGCATGCTTTTGTCCAAATTTTTGAAGATAAAACT